GTAAAATGCTTACAATTTTAGGAAGTGTTAGAAACAAGTTTGCATAGGTCCTTCTGATGTGCCTTTTTTCTTCCCCCGCTTGCATGTAATGAGACCACATAATAGTGTTTCACAATTTTTCACAGTATCCACTGTCTCTCAGTGCCCTGCCTCATGAGTTCAATTACTTTTTCTTCTCCCCATTACTCTGTAAGTGGCACTTGTCGAGACAAAAAAAAAAAACACACAAAAAAAACCCACACTCATGGGCATTTTTAAACATGCAAGCACTGCAGTGCTGGGTGCTTTGAAAAGTGCCTGGCGCTGCAATGCCTACAGTCGTATAAGTGGTGAAATGCAAGTCAGCGCTGAGAAAATGGTGGCAGCGTGCTTTCGAACTAAATCCCCTCAGAGGTGCTTTAGTTCAAAAGTGCACCGCCACCATTTTCTGCACCCTGATGCTTATTTTGCTGCTTATACAATTATATGCAGTTTGGCACACTTCGCATGCGAAGCAGGCTCAACTTGAGTCTGCTCTGAAGCAGCAGATCTCTGGCGCATCGCAGGAAAAAAAAGTTTGTGTATAAATGCCCAATAAGCCTCATTATAGCTCTCATTACTAAAATGCTGCAATATCCCTGTGAGGTGAAGGTGTGGCAGTAAGACCATTTTTCAGATGGGGATACAGAAACAGATTAGAATAAAAATTTTCCCCACTAATTTTGTTGCTCAATTTGAGACCCTTAGATCCAGATTTTTCAAATCACTTTGGACGTTCCAAACACACCTCCAACAGGCCTCAGTTAAAGATGGGAGTATCCAGAATTTCAAGTCGCACTATAGCATCTCAAGCACTGCAGCACTCAGAAAGCTAGGAACAATTAGCAAATGCTCAGAAGTTTGGTTTAAGTGACCAACCTTCCAGACATCTCACATGAACTCTTCAGCCAGGCAGGACCAGAATCCAGTTCTCCAAGGTAAGACCCAACTGTCTTAACCATGACATCAGTGTTTATTTTCTTTCAGTCACCCTACATACCCTTCCACTTGCACAGCAAATAAGACAGTGTTTCTCTAGACCAGTGGTTATCAACCCATTTGGCATAGTGGGCTACACTTTCAGGTCTCAATCTGTTATGTGGGCTGCATCCCATAGCTGAGGGGGCCCCCAGCTGCCACAGCTACAGGACCAGGGCCAAGGCTTGCAGCCCCCTACCTGCCCCCTCCACCCTCCAGCTGCTGCCCACAAGAGGTAGCGGTTGTTGCAGCTGCAGCAGAGCAGAAAGCTCAGCTCCACCCTACCATGGGTGGCATGGCCAAAGCGAAGCCTATGGAGGGGCGCAGATGCAGGCTGCCTGCAGCAGGCTCAGCGCTCCCCATTCTGCTGCTCTCCCCCTGGGGCTTCCGCAGCCCAGTGGGCAGGAATAAAAAGTTAGACGCTGGTGGACAGGAGGCCTGGTGCCTCTGCCAGGAGCCCCATGCTGGCCACACTGCCACAGCAAGGCACCCCCTGCCCACCCAGCAGCAGTAGCGGTGCAGTTGTGCCCCCCACTACTGCCATGTGGGCAGGGGGCACCAATCCTCCCTGCCCTGCTTTGTTGTGGAGGCCCCCGGGAACAGCACACCAGGGCAAAGAGAGCCCTGAACCTGTAGCAGGCAGCCTGCATCTGCCCTGACCCCATGCACAAATCTGGGGGGCATGTGTCCCCCAGGCCTCCCTTGCTAGGAGTGCATGCAGCAGCAGGAAACTGCTCCTTCCCATCTCCCGCCAGATGAGCCTCCTGTGGCTCCCAGTTTCTGACCCGCCCTATGGCTGCACATTCCTGCCCTGGCCCTCATGCACCATCCCAGCTGGGCAACACCTCTAGCCCTACTCTATTCCTTTACTATGGGGGCCTCAATCCCTGCCCTCCTCATAGTTTCATAGATTTAGGGTCGGAAGGGACCTAGTAGATCTTCTAGCCCGACCCCCTGCCAGGGCGGGAGAACAACAAAACCCCAAAACAAAAACGGGACTCAAATGAGTCCAGCCAGGTAGGCATCCAGCCTCTTCTTAAAGACCCCCAGGGTAGGGGCCAGCACCACTTCCCTTGGAAGTTGGTTCCAGCTCCTAGCCGCCCTAACTGTGAAGTAGTTTTTGCGGATGTCCAATCTATACCTCCTCTCCATCAACTTGTGCCCATTACTCCTTGTTATGCCAGCGGGCGCTAGGGGAAACAGCGTCTCCCCCAAACCCTTCTGGTCCCCCCTAGTGAGTTTATAGACGGTCACCAGGTCCCCCCTCAGCCTTCTCTTGTGGAGGCTGAATAGGTTCAGGTCCCGCAGTCTCTCACTGTAGGGTCTGCCCTGTTGTCCCCGGATCATGCGGGTGGCCCTCCTCTGGACCCTCTCCATGTTGTCCACATCCCTCTTGAAATGGGGCGCACAGAACTGGACACAATACTCCAGCTGTGGCCTGACCAGCGTCGCGTAGAGGGGGAGGATCACCTCCTTGGCTCTACTCGAGATGCACCTGTGGATGCACGACAAGGTCCGGTTAGCCCTGCCAACCATGACCTCGCATTGTCGGCCCATGTTCATCTTGGAGTCAATAATGACTCCAAGATCTCTTTCTGCCTCCGTGCTCTCAAGTAGGGAGTTCCCCATTGTGTAAGTGTGCTGCTGGTTCCTACTGCCCAAGTGCAGCACCCTGCACTTGTCCGTATTGAAACGCATCCTGTTCCTGTTAGCCCACCCCTGTAACCTATCCAGATCCTCACACCTAGACTTACCTGAAGGGTAAGTGGCTGCCACATTTTCCACATTTTTCTACCTGACTAATGAACTGCAGGTGGTAATTTTTTTTTTTTTTTTTGGAACAGGTCATATGGGCTGCAGCAATGTGCTGATAAGGCTGCATGCAGCCCACAGTTTGAGAACCACTGCTCTAGATAAATTCTATTACTGGTTCTTGAACTCAATTCAGTTCTACTACTGAAAACTCCGATTCTTTTCCTTAACAGGAAAAAAGTATCCACAACAAAATAGTGTGTAACCAAATCAATAGACTTCATATTTCACAACAGAACCGAGTGAAGTTTTTACCACAAAGTGAAAGCAGTCTTAAAAATGAAGTGTCAGGCAACCAAGACTCATCTGCCAGGAAGGATTTACTTAGAAAATGTTAATGCCGATTCCTATATTGCATAGCCTAGGGAACCCAAAAACATTCGTTTCAAGTCAAACCATCAACAATTAGCCTGAATAGCAAGAACTGATATGTTCCCTTCTACAGATTTTCATAAATAATATGCCCCTAGAACTTTCTGCTAAAATAATACGTAGAGGGAATTCAATAGTTTCACAAGGTACAGGTGAAATGGCTTCAAACATCCAGAAGGACAGCAACATTTCTATGCGTAAACAGACATTTTCCAATAGGAGAGATTAGTATGTAGGACTGGCCCCTCACTGTTCCCACTGAAATAAATGAGTACTATCACTTTTCCCACAATGCTCTTATTAAGCCGACATGGCCCTTCTAAATCCCAAACCAGTGTATCTATGGATCCTTTGGGATACTGTGCAAGACAGGAGACCATCCAGAAGGATGAGATCTTGGACACATTAAATTATACTAGCTTTCATAACAGATAGGAGCAATGAGGGGAGAGGAGGAAGGACAGATGGGCTTACGGATGAATTTAACTTTATGCATTTTTGAATAGCTATGTATATATTAAAAATACACTGCAATTACATTTAAAAGAAAATTATGCTTCGTATCTTCAGTTCTCAGCTGCTAAAAGTTTAGTCTAATTTTTTACCTTCTTTACCTAAAAAATTAGTAAACAGATTGCAAAAAATGGCAATGAGACTGAATTAGGAATACATACCTGTTTATGTTGTGGCACATGCGTGGTATGAGCCTGGCGAGGAACATGAGAGATTCCCAGTGTGGAGCATCCTTACTGGAGATCCCACATACATAACTGTATGAGCGACAGTCACCCTAGAAGGTAATAAAATTGAACAACTGGAAGTTTAATGTAAGCTTGCAAAACAGAGGCCTAAATTTCCGTCAATGTCCAATTGACAGCTGGATACTGCTGAAGTCAACATGACAACATACATGTTGCTTAAGACAGAATATGATCCTGGATCTACAAAAGTGCTATTTTTAATAACCTAGATATCAAAAAGGCTATAGAAGAGCTATTTTAAATAATCAGATTCATCAAACTCTTGTACTTCAAAAAGAGAATATGAAGGGCATTTCAGCCTCATCTTTTAAGGTTGTTGTCCATTTAAAAGTTGGATATATAACATTTTCATTTTTCAGAATAATTTGTTGATACTAAAAAAAACCAAACATCTTAAAAATGTAACCACTGCAAATATTCCAAAGTCATTAATTTAGTAACTGGTCAAGTCTGCTGAATATAAACAGTCAAACTACAGAACATCAGGCTGTGCACACGTTCTCCCATCATTAACATTAATTAAAATCTTTCTAAACAATGATGTAACAGTAAAAACAAATCAAAGAATAGAGGCATTTATGAACCAAAAGGGTATCCTTGTTGCGGAGAAGGCTAATAGTATTCTGGGCTGCATTCATAGGAGTAGAGGACTGGAAAAGGGCCAATGTGGTTCCTATTTTCAAAAAAGGGAAGGACGACGACCCAGGAACCTATAGGCCAGTTAGTCTTATCTCGATCCTGGGTAAGCTTTTTGAGCGAAGTATCCTGGCACATGCCCACGAGGGTCCAGCAGGGGAGGTTATGCTTAGGGGCAACCAACATGGGTTCAGAGGCAGGTCCTGTCAGACCAACCTGGTGGCCTTCTATGACCAGGTCACAAAATCCTTCAACGCAGGCGTAGCAGTGGACGTACTCTTTCTGGACTTTCCGAAGGCCTTCGACATTGTCTCTCACCCCATTCTCATTAAAAGACTAGGGGACTGTGGTGTCGACACCCACACAGTCAAATGGGTCGCCAACTGGCTGGAGGGCCACATCCAGAGAGTGGTAGTGGATGGGTCATTTTTTACCTGGAGGGATGTGGGCAGTGTGGTCCCACAGGGCTCGGTGCTCGGGCCATCACTGTTCAACATCTTCATCAGCGCCTTGGACGAGGGGGTAAATAGCACC